TGGAAATCTGTTTGGATCTGTTTTATGGGTTCAATTTTTTTCCTATGTTGGGATTCCATCATGTTCCTCAGCTCCTCTATTTTTCTATCTGTGCCCTCTCTAGATTTATTAATCATGTCTTGCACTATGGGCACAATCTCTGCTGTTATCTGAGAAATAATTTCTGACTTCATTTTTTCCAGATCCTCTTTTTTGCCAGTTCAGGGAGTCCAGGTGGTTGCGTATCAGTTGAGTATTGTTCAATCTCGTTGCCCTTTGGGGTTGCCTTAGGTGATCTGGAAGTCTGGTTTTGATACTTCTTTACGTGTCTTCTCATTTCAACAGATGCAGCCTGCTGTGCCTTTGTTGAGGCGACTTTTTGCTCATCCAGTGGTCTTGAATTCTCAGCAAGCCACCGAGCATCCTTGACTCTGCTGCTCACCTGTACACCAATTCCTGGGTTCAGAGTGGTGGCCTTCTGGATCCCTGAGGTGACCTGCTATCTGGGCGGGCTTCTGGCTGTGGTCTGTGCACACTTGGGATGGTATCTAGGCATGCCTCTCACTGGGGCCTCTATGTAGCTGTTGTCTGGGAGGGCCTTTGGTTGGGGTCTGTGCACCCCATTTCCTGTTGTCTTTGCAGGCTTTTGCCTAGGGTCTCCACATACTTATCAATGGTATTGGGGCGAGCCTCTGGGTATTGCTTGTGTACTTGTGTAGCCCTTTTCCAGGTGGGTCCTTGGCTGTGACCAATGGTATGGTGGGCCTCTGCCTGAAGCTTGTGCACCTGTGCAGCTCTTTTCTGGTTGGGCCTTTGGCTTGGCCTCATGTGCCTGAGCCTCTGGGGTTGGGGCAGAGCCCTGGCTGGGATCTGCCTGCAGCCTGGCCTCTATGGTCTCCACAGCTGCTCCCCAGGATCTGTGCGCACTTACCAATGGTATGGCGGGCCTCTGGCTGAAGCTTGGACCACACTATTCTTTTTTTGGTACCAAGGATTGAACTTGGGTCCTTGTGCTTGCACAGCAGGCAGCGAAACCACTGAGCTAAATCCCCAGCACAGACCACACTATTCTTAATGTTAGTGTTAGCCTTTCTTGTTTGCTAGTATTTTTTAAAGTTATTTTGGCTATTTTTGATTTCTTGTAGCTCAAGCAGATTTTAATTTGTTTTGTTTTATTGGCACTGTGATTGAACCCAGCAACACTCTACCTCTCAGTTATATCCTTTGCCCTTTTTATTTTTCGTTTTGAGGAAGGGTCTCACTAATTTGCCCACGCTGGCCTAGCCCGTGTGATTCTCCTGCCTCAGCCTCTTGTGTAGCTGGAATTACAGTCATGAGCCAACATGCCTGGCTCTAATTTCTTAAGGTAGAAGCTGATATCATTGCTTTGAGATTGCTGTCATTTTCTTATATAGGCATTTGATGCTGTAAATGTCTTTCTTACAACATCTTTAGGAGTCTTGCACAGATTTGGATATGTCCTGTCTTCATTTTCATTCACGTCAAAACATTTTTAAATTTCCATCTGATTTCCTCTTTGACTGTAAGTCATTTGGTGCTGTTGTTGAGATTCAGAATATTTTGGGATTTTTGCAGGTGTCTTTACATTAATTACATTCCATTGTGTCACAAAACATACTTTCAATAATGTGAATCCTTTAACATTTATTTAGACTTGTTTTATGTACCAGGATATGATATATATTGGTAAATGCTTTTTGTGCAAAGACTATGTATTCTGCTGTTGTTGGGTTTAGTGTTATGTAAATTCCAAGTTGTTGAAATCTGTATCCTCACTGGTTTTCTGTCTGCCAGTTATGTAAATTTTTGAGAAATGAATATCTGAAATCCCCAACTGTAATTATGGACTTGTTTGGTTCTTGTTCTATAGATTTTCCTTCATGTACATGAACCTGTGTTATTACATGCATAAACACCTTTGATTGTTATGGCCTCTCAATAAATTGTCCCTTGTATCATTGTAAAATGTTCTTCTTCACTTCTTGTAACATTTTTGTCTTCAGTCCCTTTTGTGTGATACTGGTCTATCTCCTCCAACTCTCTGATGGTGCCTTTTCCATACCAATACATTTAATCTATTGTTTATTTATATTCAAAGTGCATTTTTCATAGAATTAAACTTTTTAAATCTAATCTGACAATTTCTGCCTTTTAATAAACATACTCAAACTATTTACCTTTAATGTGATTATTGATATGGTTTAGATCAAAGTATTACTTTTCTATTTTCTGTTTATCTCATTTGTTCTTTATTTCCTTTTTTATCTGCCTTCTCATGGACTTATTAAACACTTTTAATGATTCTACTTTATATGTGTTTTGGTTTATTAGTTATAATTCTGGGTTATTTAGTGATTGCTTTGGGGCTTATAGTATATATATCTAAGTTATCGCAGTCTACTTTCAAGTGATATTGTACACTCCATGTAGAGAACAAGAGCCTTACCATAGCGTACTTCCATTTATCCCCTCTGATCTTGTGCTATTATTGACAAACATTTTAATTTTACATACATCATAACCTATGCATTACATTCTTATTTTTCTTTTCTAAATTACCCTTTTAAAAGATTCAATAAGAAGAAAAAATACGTATATTTACCCATTTCCTAAGCTCTTCATTCCATTGTGTATATCCTCTTTGAATCTACTTTTGGCAAATTGTTTCAGCTTTTTTAAAGACCTTATTTGCCTTTTGTTTTGGAATGGTACCTTTTCTGGGTATATACTTCCAGCCTAAAATTTTTGAGTGCTTTAAAAATATTGCTGCATGATCTTCTCCCTTGTATTATTTCCAACAAGAAATATGCTATCCTACTTACCATTGTTCTTTTATATGTATTATGTTTTGTCCCTCTGGTTCTTTCTATTTTTTTTCTTCATCATTGGTTTTGAGTACTGTGATTATGATGTCTCTCAATGTAGTTTTCTTCATATTTCTTGTGCTTGGGGCTGATTGAATTTCTTGGATCTGTGGGTTTATAGTTTTCATCAAATTTGGGGAAGTTTTAGCCATTATATTTTCAAATATTTCACCTGTAATACACTCTCTTTCTTCTGGAATTCCAATCATGTGTATTTGGACACTTGAGGTTGTCCTACAGCTCTTTTTTTTTCTACGTGTTTTTGTTTTTAATTTTTCTTTCTGTATTCCATTTTGAAGAGTTTATCTTGCTAAATCTTGAAATTTACCAATTTTTCTTTCTGTGATATGTAATCTGCCTTTAAGTCTATTGACTTAAGTCTATTTTTCATCTCATATGTTTGTAATTTTCATCTCTAAAGGTTCAGTGTCTCATTTTAAGAGCCATATAACCTATATGACTACTTTTGAACATTTGAAAAGAGTTGTAGTAACTATTTTAGTTAACTGTTTTATTGACAGTAACTTCTTTGTCACTTCTAACATCTATTCTAGTTCTTAGTTGGCCCCAATAATTTCTTTGCTATGAGGTTCACCTTCCTGCTCTTTTGCATTCCTAGTTGGTTTTGATTTGGGCACCAGATATTTGGATTTACCTTGTTGGGTGTTGTAAATATCCATAGGTTTTGTTTTGAGATGTGGTTGTTACTTGGAAACAGTATGATCCTTTCTGGTCTTCTTTTAATATTTTTTAGGTGAACCTGAGTGTGATGGCATATGCCTATAATCTCAGTGCCCTGGGGGCTGAGGCAGGAGAATTGCAAGCCTGAACTACATAGGGAGACCCTGTCTCAATGCTCCCATATATATATATTTGTTAGGTGAGACCAAGTCAGTGTTCAGCTATGGCTAAATGTTCCCCACTACTGAAACGAGACCTCCTGGGTACTTTACCCAATATCCTTTGAATCTTGAGGCTTTCCAATCTGACTGTTGGGAACTGGTATTATTCCTGGCACCATGTGAGTGTCGTGCCCTCTCACCACTGTTCTTTTCAGGTGGTTAATTCCTTAGCTGGGGATGGTTTCCTCCTAGGCCTGTGCTGCTCATTACTCAGCTGAACACTCCAGGGGCTTTCTGCAAGTCTCCAGAGTTTTCTGCTGTCTGTAAACTTGCCACCTTGGTCTTCCTGGAGTTTCAGTGTTCTCTCCTCAGTTCAGGTGATCAACCAAGTTCCAACTGATTCCTTTCTCCCTAAGCCATGGCCTGGAAAGTCTCTGAAAGCAGAGACTGCTGTTGAGATACAGGCAGTGTTTGCCTTGCTTGTTTCTCATCTCTTAGGGATCATTGTCCTTTGCGGCCTGATGTCTACTGTCTTAGTTGTTTTAGACATTTTCTTCATTTTTTAATTGTTTTGGATAAGAAGACCAGTCTATTCCCTTTTATTTCATTGAGGCCAGAAACAGAGATATTCCTGGGCAAATTTCTTGACTTTTCTGAACTTTTGTATTCTCATCTATAAAAAGGATAATAATACTTAGCTTATTTTTTTATTATTTTATTTTGCCATGGAAATTAAATGAGGCTGATGTTTGCATAGCACCTGGCAATTGGCACTACTCAGCAAATATTTGGGACTTCCCTGTCTCTGCACCTGGTTCTTATTTCTTTCTGATGTTATCTTGGGTTATCAACCTGGTTCCTGGCTGAGCGTTGGCTGCGGTTTTTATGACAGTCAACCAAATGGCTCATGGACCATTCATGCTTTAACTTGATGAGTCTCAGATTTCCACTACCTAGAGGACATTTGGGTCCAAACCTTATTTTCCTTGAAGTATAAATTGCCTTTTCTGAAATCTCATCCCATTCAACCTACAGGAATTTCCACGTAATTCTAATATGAATGTCAGTAGTTGTTAGAAGGTCTTGGGTGTGTGGTGGACAGAATTTAAGGGGATCGGTGCTATTAATAACCCCAGTGTGACTTCGTTGGGGTTTCCTATAACGTCGTGAACGCCAACCTTTAACTTCCCCTTTTCCTTTTTCCTCAGATTTTCCAAAGAGCTGCATGAAGAGCAGAGAAGCATTTGCCAAAACTCACCCATTTTCTCTCCTCTTGTCTTCTCTCCCATGGTAGTGTCTGGAGGTCGCAGCCGCCTGCATCTCATTGATCTCGGCAGCTGTGTGAAAGCTCTTAGCAAAAATCGAGAAGGAGGCACAGGGCTGTGCCTCTCACTGTCTGCTCTGGGCAATGTTATCCTGGCTCTCGTCAATGGCAGCAAACACATCCCCTACAAGTAAGTGGCTTTTCTACTGGGAGAACCAAATGGGGTAAGCATGGGGCCTGAGCTGGATGAGGATTCTCAGTCCAGGACCACCTGGGGAGAGGTACGGCAAAGACGACCACGGTGTTAGTTCAGTGCCAGAGACTGGCTTTTGCTAATAGTTGTGATACATCATCATCCAAATTGGCAAATTTTGGAAATATTTAAATTCATTCCAGGTCTAATTTTAGGCTGCTAAGAAGTAGGAAGTTACCTCAATTGCCAGCATTCTACCAATTGTATCTCTTTCATAGTGACGCAAGCAAGAGGCCAAAGCTTGGCTGACATCCTTCGTGTAAGAGTAGGACTGCCACATTAAACTGATAAAAAAAAATAGAGCGAACCTAGTTGCATTTGAATTTCAGATAAACAACAAAAATTTTTAGTGTAACTGTGACCCCCAGTATTGCATGGATACTACAGGCATCCCATGTGTTAGCTGGCATCCTTACTTAGGAGAGCTTATAAAGCTTAGGGAATCGCCATGTAGCATCCCATAGAAGTGTTTGTTCCACATACGCATCCGTTCCCTCTTTCTGTTACTGCCCCAAGATGATGACATCAGAGCTGCCTCTGTATCTAGCATAGCCAAAGACTCACCACATCATCTGCGCTCATGAATGGCCCATTTTAACCACTCCTCACCACCATCACCCAGCTCCGCCCTCCCATGGACACTGTGGTGAGTGCTCCACTGGCTGTCCAGGCCCCTGCACAGGCCCCGCTGTGTCTCTTACGAGCTGTATGAACCTTCACTCATCATAAATGAAGGTTATGGCTGTATATCGTATCAACATCACAGGGAAGTAGATTCAGAATGATATAATACACATGAAAGTTTGTTTTCTAGACTTTAGAACCCTGTGGTCAAAAACCAATAATGATAACCTGATGGAACCTACCTCACTGGATCTATTCTCAGCTATTTAAATGGAAATAATGCCTTACAGAGTTGTCTTGAGGTTCTGTTCTCAGCTATTTAAATGGAAATAATGCCTTACAGAGTTGTCACGAGGATTAAGTAAACATATGGGTATGGAATCTTTTTTTAATCTGTAAAAATCTTGTAAGATGCATAGTACTAACATGAGAGGAAAAGGATAAGTCATGCAGTTCATTCTACAGCAACTGAGGTTCAGGATGCGCCCTTGAGCTCTTCACTCTATGCTTAGTTGATGCCCAACACCTGCCCCACCACCACCAAAAAAACCCCCAAAAGCTGCATTTTTATTGTATTTTCCACCAAGAGGACCATTTCTAGACTGACTTTCAGAGCTTACATAGTGAGAATAATCCTGTCTTAGTTCTTGAAATTTGAAATCCTAATTGGATAAAGCTAGAAATGGTTTTGCCACCTACTTAAAGATTATTTTCTATGGGCCGGGGATTTAGCTCAGTGGTGCTGCCGCCTGCCTCACAAGCACAAGGTCCTGAGTTCGATCCCAGGTATCAAAAAAAAAAAAGATTATTTTCTATGAGAAAAAATTTCAAGTTGAAAATTTATGAAGTTTCATTTTCTGTGAATTCTGCTTTGAATGAATTCAACCTGTGAGTTCAAAATAACCAAAGCATAAGAGGTTGGTCTAAACTGGGACTGTCAAGTGTAGAGACCTTAAGAAGGGAGTAAAGAGCCGCTGGGGCTAGTTGGTTTCCATAAAATAAGGGTCATGTCTATGAATGGTGATTGATAACTTAAAGCATAATGGTGTAAAATCAAAATGCCACCTTACAATGAGGTCATTGATTGTGTATTTTAATTGTGTAGCTCACATGTTTTCTGAAGAATAACATGCCTTTGTGAATTCAATAAATATTTGTTAAATTGATGGTGGGCAAGTTGAATGAATGTAAGCATGTCAGATTATTTTAACTGATATAAAGTAACTTCTTTCTTATTAGAGTTGGGTTTTACTAGAAACAGATAGGGATACATTAAGAATTATTGATATTACTAGTTCAGGGTCTCTTGTGAAATTAAATATATTTGAACATCAACTAACCCTACCCACCAGCCACCTGCCCTCATGGGAGGAATGACAAAATATGAACCTCTGCTCACCAGGGCTGCAGACATCTGCTGCTGGGTTCCAGGCACCCTCTCCCTTCCATTCTGGCCTGGAGTGAATGCTGAGTGGTGCTACTGGTTTCCTCAAGCAGATTTCACATGCTGCATCTGCATCAGACCAGTCACAGAGTTGTCCCCCCACCAGCAGGAGCCTGGCCTGGCTGAGCCATTGCCCTGCCTGACCTGCCTCACAAGAGCTTGCTGGGCGCCCCATTGCTTGGAGCACAGAGGCATGCTGGCCTGGCCATCCAGCCAGTCTGTCCTCCTGCAGTGTCCTGGCCAGAACAGTTGGTCCTTACTGCCCACCACCATGGATAAGCTCTGAAAGACCTCAGCTCAAACATCTCAGAACCTCGGCCACAGCAGATATCCAATATTTGGTGTCTGCAAATTACATTCGCCAGGTGATTAATCAACTAGAAACTGTCCGCTTCCAGGGCACAGAAAGGTAAGACAAAGATTTACTCAAATTGCCCAGCCAGTTGGTGGCAGGATCAAACTACATGGCTTTCCACAGCTTTAGAGACCTAGGCAGTTGGAGCCCGAGCTGCTGCTGCTCCCCTGCTCATCAAGCTCTGTAATATATCAGCTGCCTTGCTCTGCACAGCGGGTTGTTCAACACAGCAGGACGGCCGGCCCGGGTTCTTTTATCAATTCCGTCAGCACTCTGAAGCCACATTATGCAGCATTTTGTTAGCATACTAAACACCTTTCAGGGTGTCAGGCCCTATCTTTGCACTGGGTTCCTTAGAGAAGGGAAGGTTTCTAGCCCATGCATGTCTTCTTGTTCCTGCTCGCTTTCAGGAAAAAACAAAATCAAACTCCATGTTCTTGGCCCTCCCCCACCTCCAACACAAACACCCCACTGCCTCTTCATCTGTCACCCTAGACAACTCTGTGCTTCCAACCTGCATCACTTGTGCTTGCTTCTGGGAAATTAACCAGCATGTGCGCAGAGGGACATGGCTGTCTTCATTTCTCTTCGTCACTGTACCACACGATTTGCCGTGTGAGCAAGCCGGAAAGTGAGTTTGGATTCAGTACCCATTCTGCGTGCTCCCACGGGCACCCTCAGTGTGCCCCGAATAGTTCTGACTTTGCAAATGATACTGCCTTTGTGGATGACAGGTGCAGGCCCGAGCGATTCCCAGCCTCAGCCCTCGCACAGGGTAGGCTTGCCGGCCAGTCCGAGTGCCATAAATCAATCCTAAATGGTGACACCATTCAGAAAGGCATGCAGGAAAGGCAGGGAGACCACCCAGAGCTCCAGCCCCCAGTCATTTCTGCACTGACAGGCTGCACAAATTGCTCTCTAACTTGGGGGAACTTCAAGCCCAGGGAAATCTATCCTAGGCTTGAGCATTTTGACAGCACATTTGCAAATTTCCTTCCAGGCTCATTCATTACAGTTGACTGTTATTCCTCATTACTTCTTGGGCAACAAGGTGCTAGGAAGCTTCCTACTTGATGCATAAGAAAAAATAGGCAGGTGCATTTAAGTGAATTCTCATGCCCAAAACAACGTCCCAGGCACACACATCCCTGGAGCTGGTCCCCTAGAAGCTAAGAATCTATCTTAGCTTCAACTAAAGTGCTGTTATGTCAGGGCTCTTCTGAAGGACCAAGTCTTTCCAGAGGTGCAAAAATTCTAACCACAAGCCAATTGTTTCAAAATAGGATGTTCGGCCCCTTGCAGGTGCAGGTGTTGTAAAGGAGAAAACCCTTAGGAAGCTCACCTTTCACACCATGAGACTTCAGGCCCTGATGCATCTACCTTCATTTAGAACTGTTACTCTGTTTGGAAAACAATTGGTGTGTGTGTGTGTGTGTGTGTGTGTGTGTGTGTGTGTGTGTTTTGAGACAGGGTCCTGCTATGCAGTGCAGCCTCACCTTGAACTCACTGTGTAGCCCAGGCTGGCCTCGGATCGCTGCAGTCGTCCTTCCTTGACCTCCCAAGCGCTGGGATTACAGGCCTGCACCATTATGCCCAGCCTACTTTCTTTTTTTTCCTTTTGGTACCAGAGATCAAACTCAGGACCTTGCACTTGCGAGGTAGGCGGCGGGACCACCAAGCTAAATCCTGGCCCTGCCCAGCCTACTTTCAAAGGTCTTAGGATCTTATACTGAGCAAGGGCTCACTGTGGCCCAGTGTTCAGAGAAGCCAGTACTATGGTACTGGATTTTGGCAAAAAGAAAAAAAAAATTTATTGTAGAGGGCGGACCATCGAGTTAGGAAGCAAAAGGAGAAAAAAGAAAGCTCAAATCTGTCATGCCATTGGCTGGCAGCAGAGGGGGAACTTATAGGAAGCAAGAGGGGCAATGTTGCTTGTTGACTAGGTGCCAAGAAGGGAACGTGTTCTTTGGGGGGCAGGCTGTATGGGATCCAACCCAGAGCCTTGTGTGTGGCAGGCAGGCGCTGTGCCACTAAGCTACATCCGGCCCTGTTTTAGGGTCTTTTGCATGGGTGTAGATAGTCATTACACCTCTTCACAGGTCCCATATTCCTTTCTGGGGGTAGTTATCATGTTCTGCATGGCGGACTTCAAGCTTGTGACATCCAAACGTCATTGACCAGGCCAGAGGGCTTTTCCTGTGCATGCGCATTCTTGAAAAGCTGGTTTCAAACTGTCCCTGAGTGGATCCTGGAATTGTTTCCTAAAAGCCAACTTAGGCACTTTATTTAAGGAATGTGTGTCTGGGTAGATATTTGATGTCTTGACAGGAAGATTTCCCATTTGATAGGAAGTCACAGAAAATTATTCTGTGACCCTCTTGCGTTGTGTTTCTCTGAGATGCTCTTTGCAGGCAACTTGAAAAATGGTGCTACACAATCATCTCGGGACGTAAGTGATGCTGGATCTCCCTCTCTTGTGGGTCTGGTCTGTGATGCAGACCACGCCCTAATCCA